TAAACTCATTTTCTGCAAAATACTCAGAAAACACAGCTTGAGAAGTAAAATTCAGGTGGGTTTAATGGGTGCCTCCAGCTGTGCCTCATTTTAAATTCACTGTTTATTCAACAGAATCGATGCAAAGGAGAATGAACTCAGTTACCAAATATTTAATGTCATGGTCTGAAAAAGTAGCAGTTTAAGGCCATAACACTGCTGCCACTTGGACTATTCCCCTTCTATTTGCCTCACCCTAAAAGCAATGGAATTTCTCATATCATGTGCTGTCAGAGGAGACAAAATGAAAGTAACTCATGTAACTTTGCAGGGGATTCCTTAGATGTTTCTAACCCTGAAAGCACTAGACCTTTCAGGGGCAATGTAGGAAATGGAGTAGCCCATAAACAAGAGTGCTATGAAGTAAATCATCAGCCTCACCAGCAGCAAGTGAAAGGCCTATGTCATTTTTGACACTTGCTCGCTACTTATCCTTCCCCCTACCCCCAACACTCTACCTGCCAAATTGCTTTGTCAAACACCACACACAACACTGAGCAAAGACCTATAAAATCACCTAACTATTTTTGCAACCACAAATGGTGAAGCCACTGGAATTTTGCTTGGTCTGCCAGGATTTAACCCTAGCACTTGCACTCAACCTAGCTCAGGAAGTTCCTGCAGTTCTCATTCTACTCACAGATGATGACTGTACCAAATGCAAGGGAGCCCTTACTTGCAGAAGATGAACACAGTCGCAATGTACCTTTCCTGAAGTCACTGCCCAGAAGACTCTCAGTTGCTCATCACACAGGGTCCCCCAGGGAGGGGGAACATCTCCCCAGCTAAAGAAGCACAGGGCTGCTGGATCCTGGGTTGCTCCCATTGCATGGTTGGTGTAAAACAAAAAAACCCAAAGCACAGCTGTGCCAAGGCAGAGCCACCTTCCTCCATGGCACGGGTCAGACCAGCACCAGTTCCTTTCACAGCTCTGTCCTGGTGGATGCGGCTCCTGGAACATGAGAGACCACAGCTTCCCCCCGCTTGCTGGCTGGGAACCAAGGAAGTGATCAGGTCAGGGAAAGGAGCCCAAGGAAGAGCCATGTATGTGTGTCACTGCTGGGGAAACATCAAGTACACATTCCCCTTCACCACCCCAGTGTCACCCCAGGGCCAGTGACATCAGGAGGCCTTGCACTCTCAAGGCACAGGGATGGTGACCAACCAGAGACTTAGCACCTGAGCAAATGTCCACGTAATTCCACCTTCCAGTTAGCAAATTTCCAAATGTCATTCCCTAGAACATACCAGTAGACCTACCATTCCTACAGGTATAAAATGTGCTTCATGTCACATCTGCACTAAGCTTCCTCCTGTCTAACAATGCAGTCCAAGGATACTCTTTAGTCTGTCAATATTTGAAAAGAAAAATATTTGGGGAAAAAAAAAACAAAAACAAAACAACAAAACCCTTAGGAAAAATCAGTCATTCACATATCCTCAGCAGGCTTTTCCATGTTACCAGAAGCATGTCCACACAACTGATGGGAAAATCAGGTAGGGAAACCCCAGCAGAGGGAATGGGACTAGGCAAGCTCCTGATTTGGACTTCTTGCAAACAGAAAACTCTTCCCAGCTGCCTGTTTCCACCACTGCTCTGGAGATGTTACCTCTCCTGTGGTGCAAGCAACCTCTCTGAAGGAGGAGAGGAACACATGAGGAAGAGAAGTTTAGGACAGCAGTAGCTAGGAAACTGGTTACCATTTTAAGTTCATGGTCTTCTGTGGATGAGCTGACTGAAGTGACCTCCACTGCTGGCTCCCATGTGGAAGAGCAGACCCAGTGTCTCTGCAGCATGAGCATAACTCTGATGAAAACTCAAAAGGTAAAAGCAAGAAATGGTTCAGTTTGTGACCTACCTTCCCCAAGGGAAATCCCTCACAGAAGCATGTTTATCAGAGCACTGCTCCAGCACCCGGTGGCAACTTGTAGGTCTCAGAAACCACCAGAGGCCTGTTAATTGTCCCAGGCAAAGCATGACACTGCACTGTCTCAGAAAAGTAAGTTGAATTCTGGGAGTGAGATGAACTGGACAGTCAGTGTCCCTTTTATTTTATGTCATACCATAACAATGAATACTTAGAAGATAAATAAATAATTTTTCTTTTCTTAAAAAAACCTTCCAAGATTTCTGTGGTACTTGGGTTGGTTGATGATGATGAAAGATGACATGCACAGATTTTCACTTACAGAAAGGAAACATGGGTAACTCACATTTTCTAAACTCTTGACAAGTAACTCACCTGGTGACACAGGAACAAACAAATCAAGCCATTTGTATCAATCTCACATGAACCACAACTTAAATTTGAGATACAAAGGATTTCATGAAGGAGAGAGTCAAGGGTCTGAAGCCATTTTAACATTGTACATCTTTTCTTAACAGCTTTAAGCATCTCCAGCTCTTTTATCCAACATACTATGAGGCATCTTAAAATACTCTGTATTAGGTATGCTATCTGAATATACCCTCTAGCATCCTCAAAGGATTACTCCAGTTCAGCATCTGCTTAAAACACAATGCCTTCTTGTCTGCCTTGTTTTTTTTCCTTTTTTCCTCATGCTGCTTGGGGCTAATCAGTCTGCTTGTTTCTCTAAAAGAGCAATATGCTTCTCAAAACCCCTTAGGTATTGGACAGACCCTTCAGTCCAGCCTCAACTACTGATAATTATAGTTCTACCTCTGGTTTACCCATCAGTCAAGAGAGTAAAGATCAAAAAAGGTATTCCCTTGTCAGAACATCATTTAGGCTAAGAACATTTCTGGAGAATAAGATGCTTCACTGAGTTTAAATTATGTGCTTATTTTCAGAAGTTTCTAATCCGTCTCCCCAGAAGCTACCTGCACATCCCTCTTCCCTTTCAGAGAACGGAAGCCCTTTGCAATGGGCATACACCTCTTCTGGCTAGGTTTTGCAGTTTCTGCTCCATTTCCAGATTCTTTTGATCTGTCAGACTGTTGACTTTGCCTTTTTTGGCAACTTTTTTACTCTATGGTGGTTCTCCTCTGAACCTCTCACTCTGCTCCTGGTTTCTCCTTGGTCCTATCCTCAGCTTCGGCCTTTCTCAGACACTGCTTTCCATCTACTTCAATTTCAGAGGGTCAAAACTTAGCCCCTTACTGATATTTCATGTGATTTTTTTCATCTCTCTTGCTTATGGCCTATGAGCAACATCCACCTCAGTATTCAGACCCAGAGAAATGGGTTATGTTAATGCTCTTGATTCCATTACCTAGGCCACAACAAAACAAACCCCTGGTCTCTACCTGACTCCTACTCACAACATATCCTCTTCTAACTAGCAAAAGTATCCCTCACTTTGGCTACTAACTTAGAAACACTTCCTTATATCCAACACATATGGATTTTTTTTTCCTCCCGTGTACCATCTGCTCTTTGACTACCGGTCTTGAATGAAAGGCAATTTTTCCCTGTGGTTTAGAGTTGGTTTTGGTTTTCTTTCTTCCAAAAGCAATCCTAATGAATCCAAAGGAAAAAAAAACAAGCAAAAATACCTTTGTAATACTACTGTCTACCTTTAGCTAGCTAATGATGTCAACATGTGGTTACAGTCCTTCTCAAAAATGCCATCATTCACAGAGCTCCATGGAAAGTAGTTAATAGGGGAGTATGTCTATGCTTGCAATTATCTTCAACTGCTTTACACCACTTGCTGCTCCAGAAACAAACGTTTCATAATTTATAATTAAAAAACTAAAGTGGAAGTTCTTATATATATTAATGTACTCCATTTCACTTGTGTTACCCTCTAAATACTGTGACCAATCAAGCATTCCTTGCCTACAAGCTCTCAGTGAATCCAATGCACCTCTAAACATTGGATTGCCCTGAAGTGTGGGGGTTGTTTAACACACCAGAAGAGAAAGGAGAGAGCATAAGCAAAGAAGACTGCAATTCAGTGCTTTGCACAGAATTGCTAGTTTAAAACTACTGGCTTGCAGGGACAGTGGGAAATCTGACTTGTCATAAAATGCAACCTTTCCCACTTTTAATTCAACACACTTTATACAGTAAGAACCTAATAAAGATGTTACACCTTGCTTTGTTCCACATCTTTGTGACAGGTCGGTGTTTCAAGGAGAAATCCCCACCTGTGTCAGTGAATTTCAGCACTCCTGGTGAAGCTGCTGAGATACACTTGAGGTAGTCCAGCACAGGAGTACAGCAAAGAAGAACAAAATCAAACACAGGCCTGGTCACAAACCCTTTGCGCATGAAAGCGAGTGAACAGCAGGGGGATGCACTACCACTTGAATAACACAATTTTGTAAAATGGCTCAAAACATCATACATGTTCTGATGCATCGAGTAGGACAAATGAACATGTGCTCCACAACACACAGTACCCCAAAGGATAGAAGGCAACAACACGTTTACAGGGATTACCATGAAAAGTGCATGATGTCAACACCTGGAAGTCCTTACAGCGACAGATTTTTATCTTACAGTTAACAGCAGAACAAATTTTGCACCAACAAGTAGAAGGTATTTTCCAAAGGATAAAAACCACCTGCTTTCATTAAAGCCGAGTTTTTGATACGACAGAGGCAGAAATTTATGCTAAGGCTTTCCACTAAGGACTCTAAGTGGTTTTAAAATACAAGCCTAAAAACCATCTGGGCTTTCCAATTGGCTTTACATTTTGTAGAATGCACCGATTTATACACAGCATTTGTGACAGAAGGAATTTCAAGAATGCAAGCAGCACAATGGCAATGTAGTAGCTGATTAGGTCTGTGGACAAAGTTTCTCCAAGTTCAACTTTTGGTCAGTGTACAATATTCAGGACACAAAAATATCCTGGTGAAGGTGGTCTGTCTTTCACTTCAGCTATAATAAAAGAGATCTTCTACACTTTAGCTGTAATAATCCACACACAAAAAAAGAGAGAAAGAGGGAAAGAGAGAGAGAGATGGCAGATACACTGAGAACCTGCAGTGTAGATAATCAAACCCTTTATTGTCTAAGTTACATTAGACTTGCAACACCATAAAAACCTGTTAAGAAGAAGAAACAGTAGATTGGTAGAGGTAGTAGAAAGTCCCTTTAACAGTCATAAAAGGGCTTTACAGGAGTGTGTCATGCCAAAAAAACTTATCACATTGCTTAAAAGAGCTGGTGAAAGCCCATTGACTAAATAAATATGGAACATAACTCATTTTAAATACTATGGCCTAACTAAAATAACAAATCAATACAATACAATGATATAGAAGAAAACAAAAATCATGGGATTCTCTTGTGAAAACAGATGGTCTTTAAGGTTGGCTTTCCTCCACCCACTCTTGTTTCTTGTTTAATTAAGTGAAAATCTCATTTCTCTGCTATACACAGCATATAATTATTTAAACTGATTTCCCCTACTGTTGTTCTTCATGAAGCTAAATTATGATTGTAAACTTTGCTGATTAGTACCCTGGTAATGGCAGTGGCAGCACTAGCTTCTCTGTCATGGATTCTGGAAGAAAAGTTCCAGAAAGAAGGTTTTGGCTCTAAATATTAACTCAGATTTTCTAGTTCAGCTTGCCAAAAAAATACAATTAAAAAAGGGAGAGAAATTACAAATGTACACTACACTTTTGTGCCATTTTGGGTGTAGAAGAGTTTTTAATAACTAAACCACAAACAAACAGATTAGGCAACTAGCTTTTGTGCATTCCTGAACTGTCACCATTACTTTCTTTCATGGAAAATATGACTCAGAAAAGCAACAAAACAAAACAAACAAACAAATAACAAAACAGAACAAAAAACCAAACAAAAAAACGCCCCACCCAAAAACCGAAACCAAAACAAACTGACAAACTGAGAAAGCTAGTGCAAACCCAAAATGATAATCATTAAGCAACACAGCAAAATATTTCCACTTTTTCATTCTTCTCCTTTCCTTGTTTTTTTTCTTGTTTTTTTTTTTTTTGGTGTACAACAGAATGTGTCTATGCAACCTCCCTCAAAATAACTTCACAGAACAGTTAATTACAGTCACTTTTAAGTATTTGCACAGACATTCCTAACTACACTGAGACTTACAGAGGATTCTGGTATACATCTTGTGTAATAGCCTAAGGAAAATCTAATTTAAAAAAAAACACATAAGGAAGTTAATTTGCATTGTTGCAAGTGTTGCAAAGTAACAAAACCTGTCAAGTAATTTCAAACAAGTAACAAGTAGTCCAGACCAAATTACTGACTAGATTTTTTTAAAAAAGCAACCCCCCGCCCACCAAAACTGTTAGAATAGAAAGATCACGTTTTAAGGTTTTTTCTGCCTTTTTTTTTTTTTAACAAATCTTTGTCAGAAGCCCATTTCTACAAAAACAGCACTATTCCATTACTGTATTAAGTAAACTGTGGTCTCACCTGTATTAAAGGTTAGCATCATTTCTGTACATGTAAAATTATTGCTTTTTTGAAAAATATATTTAGCATGCTAGGTTTTTAACTCCATTTCCTGCCTTTACAAAATGTTACAATTTAAAAAAAACAAACTAGTAAAGCTTTTGCAAAAATTTTCACAGAACATTTTCTTTCAAGGCAGCAGTAACTTTTGATAATGCATAAAATTATATGTGCAAAATCTGAAACTCTCAGAAATATTACCATCACACATAGTGTCACAGCAATAAGAAAAGAAAATATTTAAATCGGTGGAATACATTTTTAATTGCTTACACTGCATGGTTTAACAACCTGTTATGTGCCACAACCCCACCTAGAAAACTTGCAGTTAAAGAGTTACTGTAGAAGAGGTATATAAAGCTTTTTTTTTCTTTTTTTTTTTCCTAACACCACCAGTGATCACCAAGTACAAGACATGACACATTTATATGAACATTAACCTGCCACCACAAAAGAAGTTTCCTCGTCTTTCCAGAACATCACTGGGCCCAAAGAGGAGCAGTAGCTGGCCTGCTGAACCACACCAAAGAGCAGAGAGCACCTTACAGCCCCAGGGCTGCCTGAATTCATTCAGTGACACCTTTTCTCTTCTAAACAGAGAGATCAGCGGCATTAGACAGCTGAATGTTTTATTATTTCCTTTTTTTTTTTTTCTCTAAGTGAAGACTTCCTTTGTGATCAGGTTGAAGAAAGTAGCCCTGTTACAAAAAAAAAAGGTCCTGAGAGTAAAACACAGAAGCCTGTTTTTTTTCTTAGTGTTCGACCAGCTTTTCTGTTCCAAAGCAGAATAGAAGCTTTTCTCTGGAAGTGTTTCAATTTCCATATTCACATACTATTAATGGTGCGCAGTCAAGAGCAAGAGCACTAGAAATGCAAGTGGTCCCCAAACTGTAATGAAACAAACCATTGCAGAATGACGGTCTTTCTCTTTAGTCCCTTTAATCCTTCATCAAACATTGCTTTCTAAGCACCGAATGCCACCTTTCCCCCCCCCCGCACCCCTCATTCTTCCTCTCTCTGTTGTTGTTTTTTTTTTTTTTAATTTGCTTTTCAGCATGACAGGCAGTGGCAGTTTCATTAATTAATACTTCTCCAGCCCTCAAATGCACTGCTGTTTTTCAAATGAATCAAATAGTCATTGTGAGCATCAGGGAGGTTTTTGTTACAGTGCTTAACTTCTTCATGCTGTCCAAATCACATAAAGTTTAATTTTTCCAGTGTCTCAAACTTCTCTTGATTAATATAGATGCCTCGTGCTGCCACAGTGCTTGCCAACTCCACTGTTTATTATAAAGGAAATAAGGAACCATGGGACTGATTAGTACGTCAATTTATATATATCTTGTGTAGCATCTTCATTTATTTTAAAATGATTAACAGCGCAGAGGCACCCCCCCTCCTGGCAGAGCGCTGGTTTCAGTCTCGCGCAGCAGCTCCGGGCGAGGCGATGGCTGCAGGGGGGCTGCTCTGCTCTGCGTGGGGGGCTGCTGGCGCTGCCCCTCGGGCTGGGGGCTGCTGGCCTCGGGGCTCCTCTGCCAAGGCTCTAGGTTCCCTTTCGGAGATGCAGCGTGTGGGTGATCTCCGCACCGACGTGGTCTCTCCCCTGCAAGAAGGACAACATGGGGAAAAAGCTCATTCTCGCCTCTGCTCCCAGGCATGACCCTCCAGCAAGTCCTGCTGGTGTTTGTTAACCTTTATTAGCATCACGCACATTCATCTTGACCCACCACATGAGAAGTTCTTTAGTTTGTTTTGGTTTTTTTTTTTAAAAACATCTCCACCAAGAGCAAAGTGTGTCAGGCTCATATAAAGTCCCCTTTCAACTACAACAGCAAGTCATAGTGTCTGATGGAGCAGTTCAGAAAAGGCTGAGAACAAGGAGGGAAAGAAGAGGTCTCCAAAAAGTGGAATTTTGTGCTAGCCAAAAAGGATTCATAACTAGATCAGCGCTTTAAAAAGGCTGAAGTTTGAAGTCACAGAGGCAGCTGAATGAAGAAAAACTGAATTCTTGGGCAGGTCTGTCAAATGCTAAGGCGGCTTTCCACTCGCCCCCCCCTTGTCATCTTTCCTCTATTTTCTTAGCCAATTTTCATGAATAATTACCATGTTGGAAAAAATAGCAGGGATATTCTAAAATCAAGTGAAATTAAAGATAACATCATGAATAAGTGGAAGCCTGCAGCTCCTAAGAAAAGCTTTAAAATGACATTTAGAACATCACTGTCGGAACAATGCAGTTTACAATCCTGATCCTAAAACAACATGGCAAGATTAATCTTACATAAATGCATTATCCTTAAGCTAAAGTCTTGATGAAGTGAAACAGACCATTTTAAATTAATGCAACATAAAATACAGCACCCATGTAAAATCCAAGCAAGTTTCAAGCTGTGCCTATGGCAGCCCTCGAAATAGCTAAAGAAAGCTCAGCTCTGGTTGACATAATGTATTAAGTGCATCTCTTTTGTTAATAGATTTAGAAAATTCCTAATTAAACCTGGCCTGAGATTCATGACATTTACCAGTCAAAGTTTGGTTTAAGTCGGAAAGATTTGCAACAAAATTAAAGAAAAAAAAAGCTGCTGTACAGACTGCAGTATATTTGAAATGTAGGAAACAGTAACTGAATGAGAGATGTGATAAAACTTCCTTAGTTGGATGCTGAATTTCCTGCAGTAAACTAAGAAAGATGCTTTACATTTTTGCGTGGCTGCATCATGCCTGAGAGACACAGCCACAATTCCAGGAGGAGGCATTCATCATTAAAACGTCTCGTATCGAACTGCCTCTACACACATGGGGGAGCACAGCAGGGCTTCACCAGGATAGGGAAGGAGGGATGGAGAGAGGCGAGGGGATGGAAGGCACCTTGTCCCAGTTTCCCTGGGTAAGAACTGAAAAAAGGGCTGTAATTTAGGGGTGCTCTTTTGGGATGGACAGCCTGCGGGGTGGTGAAAGCATGCCATGGACCACACAGCACAGGGGACCTGTGAAAAGAATAATCCATCCTCCCCACACCTGTAAGGAGAGTGCAGAGGGGCTGGAGGTGGTGGGTGGGTGGCTGAAGCATATCTGTGCTGCCAGTTTCACCAAGAAACAGCACCTGACATTCATGTGTGCCAAACCCCACCCAGTGGCTCAACCCCTTGTACTCCCACAGGCCCAAGGATACAGTCAGATTTTGAACTGGCTGATACATAGTTGGATAGAATTCTTCCTGAAGTGAAATGTTTTCCCTTTTTAAAAGGAACCTTTCTTCACTTTCAGTAAAAACTGGCAGATCTTTACATGAAACCTAGAGCTTCCATGCCAAAGCTGCTTTCATACCAACTTCTAGGGCTTTTCACTAGTTAACAGGAAAAGAATAGTTTTTATACCTGTTAATATACTGAAGGACAGATTATTGCATGGCATTGAAATAAAGTGCAATGACCACTTTGGAGCACAGATACCACTCCTGTTGCTGGCAAGGGAAAAGTGTTGAGACAAGAACTACAGCTGCTAATCCTGTCTCTAATGCTCACAAAGTAACAGACATACAGTACATGCATATTACTCAGATGCCACTACAGCAGCCTCTATGGTTCCTTGATTGTTTGCATTATAATCTCCATATGTATGAACGAGACAAATTAGGTTGCCATTTATTTGTTCATTATCTATTATTTTGATTAATGGAATTCTTGTTCTCAGAATAACTATTTAAAAATAACATTTGCAATAATGAGGACTGAACTATTAATCATGATCTTTGGAAGAAACTCTGCAAGGAACTGGGGCAAGACATTTCATAAGAACAAATGTCATAAATAGGACTTTTAACAGACAGCACTAAAATTTTGAATACAAGAAAACTAAAACCAGCCAGACTCAGAAACCAATAGTTTAAACTTTTTTATCTGGGTTGGGGTTTTTTGTCTCCTTCCCTTCTCACCAAAGTTGCTTTAGGACAAGCACAGCTGTAGTACTGCTGGATTAAAAAAACATTACAGGTAACAGATGTCCCCAGCTTTTCCCCCAAGCTCCTTTACAATACACATACACATATATGCACAGTGTTTTCTTGATGGTACTTTCCAATCTGTATCCCCCAAATTCTGACTGTTCACATTCATGCTAACTCAAGTACTGAACACTGCAAGAAATATTTTAAAATACTTTTAGGGGAGAAAATTAAGGCTTATGAACCCCTTATGAAGGTGTTTTACCCCTGTCACACAGGACCTACTGCACACTTCTCTTTTCAGTGAATGAGGCCCAAGAACTGTGGTGCCCACTGCTGTTTCACAGAAAAGGACCATCAGTGCCTTCTGGCATGGGGAAAGCTTCAGCCAGAAGTATTCATGACACCAGCAGTTTATTTTTTTTTGTCCTGGGCTGTAGCTTCTTATTGATTTTCTGTGAATAAAAGGGTGTTTTTCTGCAGAGGACAAAGGTTGGGGTTTGGGGGGTTTTGCTTGTTTCATTTGCAGAGAAAGCAGAGAACTTGGTGTCTCTGGCTCCAGCACTGCAAATATGCTTCACATATATACATATATATATAAACACACACTTTCAATTAAACAGAACTCTTCCTCATTGATAACTAGTAAATCATGCCTTTTGAACACCCAATTACTTGTCCCTTAAAATTTTTAGAGCATATTGACTGACACTGACAGAGGACAGACTATATTCCTACAGTGGGCCAAGCTTTTATACGGCTTTAAAAATGCAGAAGCAGAAATTAAATGCACAGCATACGTATTAGAAACTGCTATCACTGCTGTCACCATTTTGCAAAAGCAGGCTCAAGACTGACTCCTGTGCCACTGGGAATTGGGCTTCTGGCTGCAGCGCTGCAGCACCAGGCAGTGTCTCTGAAATGACCCCATGCTTTAGGAGAGCTTTGCTTTAAGATACACGCAGCTGCTTTGAGGCACGTGCTGCTGCAAGGACCCTTCCAAAGGGGAGCCAGCTTTTGTCTTGCCATGTACATGCAATTGGAGTGTGCTCCCCCAGTTCATGCCTACTAAATCATATCTCTGGATGTTGCTTAGTGTATTCCAAATTAAGATACATATTCATTGTGGATAAGCAAGCGTAATTATGTATACATTGGGATATTTAGCATTTATAAAAATATTCAGAATATTCAGTATGTTTAACATGGCAGCATTTCAACAGAATCTACATGACTTTGCAAGATTGTATTGACTTGGGGTATGTAATGAGCATTTTTTGTCCTTTAGATAAAGAAGAGTAGGAAATATTCCACAGTTCATGGGAAACTCACTTTATGTAAAAATGTCCTTTTTTTAAAAAGCATTCAAGTAAAAATAAGAAACCACAGTAAATAACATTACAAATGAACCCTTTTTTTCCTACATTTTATTTATATTTCATGGGTGCTGACAACAAAGCATGAAACACAGCCCAGCGTTAACAGTATTAAAACCATGTGTGTTTGATCTTTTTTAAACACTCCTACAGGTGATCTCCTTTTCACTGATGCCGAATGCCTGCGTGTCCTGTTCGTGGTTCACTACTCTAATGCAGGGTTCTTATTTAGACAACTAAATACAGATTTACCTGGATCATTATTGAAAAAGCCTGGCTGTAGACCCTATTTTTAACATGCACAATTAGAATTATTCTGTGATAAGACGGCAATATAATGAAGCACCGTTGTAAGCTACCATGTTGGGGGATTGTAAAAGCCCTAGCTAACATTCTTTCATAAAGGAAACCTTTAGAGATGATCTTTTGGTTGACTACAGAAGGGAATGGGGGAGCCGTGAAATACTAATGTTAATATTTTTACTCTTCAGCAGACTACTCAGGGGAAGATATTTTACCTGTGAGGAGGAAACATTATGTAAAGTGAATCATTTCCACTTGACATTAAAAAAACCCACCCTTTCCTTCTCAGGCTATCGTACATGGTAACTATTGTTTCTTGCTTGGAGCATGTGCACGGCACTTCTGTAACTTGAACTGACTTTACACCATAAACTCTCATGAATAGATCTGTCCCCAATTAAGAAATGAAATGAAGACACGGAGTGACAACGTTTAAAGTGGGAAATGGTAATGTTAACGGAATGCTGCAGGCACCGTTCTCAGTGCGAGCTCATTTCTGTGCTTCTGAAGGCCCCTACAGCTGCAGGTAGAAATGAGAGTATTCCCTCTGTAATGCCCAGGGACTGTGCAGGTGGAGTCTTCTGGGGGAGCACAATGCCTGCTTGCAATGAGAACAAGCAAAACAGCAGACAACTGAATAATCCTACCCGACACAGATGCTGACAAACTGAGACAAAGGCTGATACTGAGGAACAAACAAGACAAAAGAAAGGGAACTATCTCCTGGAGAAGTGATCATACTGCATTTTCTGTGGGAGCAATACCAACTGGCAAGAGATGAAGTGACTCGTGAAGCTAACCCCTCCTCAGAATTCTGCTATATTGAGACATGCTGTAATTTAATCAAATGCTCTGAAGACAGATTGACAAGGACTTAGACTGCAAGAGCAAGCTCCATTTGCCATGGAAGGAGTTAGTCAATAAATTCTGGCATGACAGTAGTCTACAAAGACAAGATTGTGAGTAAATTTATTGTGCAGTAATATAACCCGAATTACAAAAAGAGTCCAGATGTGGTCTGAGCTGCCACATTTCCTTTTGGATAGATACGGCTATTTCAGTATTTTTTGGAAATGTATTTCCAACTTCGACCTTTTATTGTCTTCTAGAAGAAAGAAGCCCAGATGCCCTCAGAATCCAATCTCAACTACACATGAGAGAAAACCACAAGCATGAAAAGATGAAAGAGCATTTTAAAAGATGCTTAAGTTTACTAAATCTACATTACTAAACTGGTGGAAACCAAAGACTAGCTGAGCTGGTTGGCAGAGTTTCACTGTCACTTTTACCATGTCTGTGTCTCTACCATTCACTCTGTCTCTGTTATTGAGAGATGTGTCCTTGCACAATTTTATGCTTATCTAGCATCATGAGGAGGGCGCTATAGAATAACTTTGCCGTTACTGTCCCATTAACGCAAAGCAAAGCAAACATTGCCCACAACAAGGAAGTGCTATGCCATCTTGAAAACTTTATGAGAATTGCTGACCACTCCTATGGCCTGATGTTAACAAGATGCTCCTGTGGCAGAGGCTGGGTTCCCTACACAACCTTTGGGCCAGAAAGATGCAACTGAGGTCCTAAAAGCTTCCATGAAGGGTGCAGCATATGAACTAGGTGATGTGGTGGTACCCAGTGAGGATGTTTATTGAGAAAGTAGAAACCAATGGCCAAAATCATCTAAGCATGGCCAAAAACACCTGCAATAGTTTAGTAAGAGACAGGAGGATGGGGGCTGCTGTAATGAAAAGCTAAAAACGCAGACGAAAGGGAAAGTGAGTGATGCTGGAGGCAGTTTCACAATTAAAGAAAACTGTCCATGAGGAGGCGTGCCCTGAAACCCACCTGCCAAGCTACAAGATGGAGTAGAAAGGTCCAGGTTATGACACTAGTCTCCAAAGATGCAAGATACATGAAACAAATTCAGTTTAATGATTTTCTGTGTAACTGAGAAGTGTTTGTTAAGACAGGAAACTGTATAGTAGAAACAGGAAAGCACACCAACACAGAGTCCACAGAATTTGGTGGATGAGAGCCTTTCAAAGGCCAGGTACTGCATATCAGGGTACAAATAATCTGAAAAATACAGACTAAACGTTAATTGTCTTGTGGCAGCAGAAAATGTGTTAGTTGTAAAATCAAATTTCTATCTCACGATTACATGTCACTGCCCGTTACAGAGTTACCTATCCCACCCAGTCCCCAGTAAGCCAGTAACATGTTTATTTAAACACTAACTACCTGCTTTACAATTAACTGACTCTCTATATAACAGATTCTGTTAAAATGCTTAAAAAATTTAAGAGTTAAAAATTAAGCAATACCATTATTATTTATACATGTTATAAAACAGTCAGTACTTTAGTGATGAGTATTACTGCGCAACTTTTTCCCAGCTACCACATTAAAAACCAAACATCCAATTAATTGTAAAACATACTTGTTTTGGAGCATCTGCAGAGGTGGTGTGAACTTCAGTACCTCGGAGTCCATTAGACTCAAATACCACTGTGGGAACAAGGGGGCTTGTTAACAGATGAACATTCAAGCTTCGTTAGTGTGTGTATATTATTTGAGACCATTACAGATTAACCACGTTCAAAAAAAGACACCAGCTACTAGCCTGTGGCCGGAAAATACCAATTTACCGTAACACTTACTGTAAGAGAGTGTGCTAATGGCAGCCTAGGGCCACTGCCCTTTTTAATTCAGACTTCAGCGCTGAAGAAAGCAATCACTGACAACATTAATTATCAGTATATGTGTAAAGGGACCCTCTTCTTGCATTACTTACCATTTGGCTTCTGTCATTTTGCATCAGACTGGCTTATGTATGCATCATTCACACTTTTGGGGAGGAACCCACTAGTCTCACTGTCTCATGCAATGCTCAGGAGGTCTCAAGGCACCGGTGGCTTTAGGCTCCTCCAGCCTCAACCACAGATTGTGTCAGGTTAAAAATGGCTGCTAGGGCTGACCAGTCTGAGGAAAAATCTTGTTTCCCACAAAAATGTTCCTGTCAACAGCAACGATGAGGCAAAACAAAGCCTTATGTTGTGCTGAAAGGGGTACTTTGATTTCAATTTGTGCTGGTGGCAACAGAATTCATTAGCATATTCATTTCTGAGTACCCTACTCTCTAATTAAAATAAAACATTTGCAAACAGAGTTATCTTAAATGCATTGCAATTTTATGGAGTTTGGGTAGGGATCAGGTAAGCAATATCTGGAGAACAAGAACAAAAGTCATAAAAAAAAACCCTGTCTATTAGATTTAGGTATTGGAATTACTCAGGTTAACATGGGATGTGAAATGTAATTCTTGGTATTTTGTTAGCAGAATCTGAAAGCAGGCAAGTGGGAAAGGGAGAAAGAAAGAGCAAGTGTGAAAAGGTACCTGTGTGGGACCTCTGATGAGTCCTGAGGTGACTGGGTTGGGTAAAGCATTTTCCACATTCTCTGCAGACACAGTCTCCTTGGCGTGTTTGTGTCCTGAGCATCCCTGTAGTCAGGAGAGAGGGGGGGAGAGGAAGGGGGGGTTGGGGGGGGTGGAAAGAGGAGAGAGGAAAGTTGAGAAGAAAACATTATGCCAGAAGAAAACATCATTAGTATGTCTAATGTGTCATTATGTGAGGCTACCTTCAGGCCCTGGATGACAACTGTCAGCCTTCATCTAGGCACTGGCTGACAGGCCAGGCACACACAGGACTGCAAGAATGCATAAATTACATTGAATTAAAAAATGCTCCCCATGATGTGCCCGCACCAGGACTGGCATGTCAGGTGTGCGCTTTTCAGAGCAGCTGGATCCACTTCTCAGCCATCACCCAGCTTTGTCAAGCAGTACATCAGGCAAATCAAAGTGACTCCAGCGTGGCGGAGACAAGTCACATGGATAATAGGAAGTGAGTAGGACCAGAGCCCGACTGTCCCCCCCAGGCGGCAATACCTCAGAGACAAATGCAGAGTGAGCGGAGCCATCGCAGACTGATCAAACCTTTCGCCCCTGCCTACCTGCCTGCCGGTGCTGCTTTGACCCTGGACCTCTGAGGCACAGACGAAAGACATCTGTGAATGAAAGTGTCATTCCGGACATTTTGAGCTGGTAGCAGCGCAGCAGCCTTCCCCCAGCCCTGGGTAAACATGTTTTCTAGGCCATTAGCATTTGTGGAAAACCGCTCAAACCTCTCCTTTTTCTCCAAAGGTCAGTTTACAGCATCTGACTTAAAGGGCTGGTCTTTGTCTTTTTGCTGCTGATCAAAAAAGACACATTTGACTTTTATTGGGCTTTTTTACTATTAAAAAAAAATTATGTTTGAACATCATCTTTTCTATTTTGGTAAAACGCCCTCTTCGGAAGGAAAAGAGTTGATGTTTCCAGTTGCCACTGGAATACTTTGGCTTTTAAAGAAATTCTGAGAGGGTTGTCAACAGAAGTGAAGTTTCAGCTTTTCTTTCATATTCCCCTCCCTGTTACAGCAGTTAAAAAGAATAAAATTATGAACAAAAAAGTGGCAACCAAAACCCTCCACACAACTGAAAAATCAACTGCAGGATGCCAGGGGACTCATCCAAAATATGGATGCTGCACCTAAAGACGAATGGAAAAGAAGACAGCTGCCATTTACTCTGCTGTTATGACACCAAGCATCCTGTCATGGTTTTCACCAGAGCATATATTGGAAAGAAATGTCTGGTTGCAAAAAAAACCCAACAAAACAAAACAAAAAAAATCCCACAAAAACAAAACCACAAAAAACCCCAAACAAATGCCCCACTCACAAATTGTTGTTTTCTTTTATAATAGCACCTCCTGCAGATGGCAGCACAGTCTGTATAATATACTTGAACACTCCTGCTCCCAAGAATTAAGTTTCTGGGAATCAAATAGAAGATTGTGATTTTGGAGAAAATCCCCATCGGGTATACCCAGCAACACAAACAAACAAAAACCTCAAAAAAATAATATTAAAAAAAAGAATCACACATCAATGAGAGCCTTACTGTACTATAATGAGACAGATTTGCCTTGTAAGGCAGCCAAGATTAAAGCAGGTTTTCTGATCTATTACTAGCATTTTCCCCTCACTGGCCAGAACTGTAGCTGAAAACTTGAAAGCAAAAAGCTGAAAGAGCTGTCCTGAGAAACCAGGTGTAGCCTTTGCTGGACTGCCCCATGCCAACTACTGGACAGGCAGAGACTGGCAGAACAGCTCCTATGAAGCCCAGGAGAGTTTCCTCAGGTCATCATTCTGACACCTCTGGAAAGAGATTTAATCCCTCTACAACCCACGTCTCCCTCTGTGGAAGGTGAATACACTTGTCTCAGCAGCCATTACAGACCCAATCCAATAGCCTTCATGGAAGCACCACTCCCACCTGAGTCGTGCATGAGGGAAGGTTGAGGATGCTGTTGTAAGCCAACGTACCCTGTATGAATGCCGAAGATGAGTAGGTGTAAGACTTTCATCTAACCCCTCCCTAGCTCTCACTTTACGGTAGTTATTCAAAAAGCAGGTGGAAAAAATGCGTCACTTCCAGGTATATTTGCCATTGTTGTATTTCCTAAGCAGCACCATAAGGCTTTTGATAGTTTAGAGCTTTGAGCCATGGGCATCACTGCCACAAGGCAATACCCCCATGAGTCATCACTCAGGTTATCCTATACGTGAACAAGAGAGGGTGGATGACTACAGGTCTTAGCAAATTACAGGTAAACGAACGTGACTATCCGAATGGGAGTTCCTGAGAAATCGATGCTCAAAGCTGGTCTCACAGGAGACCCAGAGAAAGAGTGCATCTGCTGCCATAACCCAGCCTTTACTAATATGGCAATTCCTGTAAATATCACAAACAAAATAAATACCCACTATTAAAGATAACAGTAAGATTCTCCCTACAAGCATTTGGGAAGATTGGGCAGTGTGAAACAAACTAACCTAAGTACAGCTAGCTTTGTGTTTGCAGCTGTATCACAACAGTACATACAACAACTCTCTTCCAAGGACAAACATTCCATTGAGGGGAAAAACATGACAAATAGTATACCTAAGCAGGATTTTTGGTTGTCCTTCATGTCATGATTGCCATATTCACATTATGAGATTAAGGCTAAATTGTATGATGCATACTGACTCACAGGGCTCAGCCTATCTAGGGCCATATGTTATTTCAGACAAAGTTCAATTACCCTCCTCTTTTTTTTTTTTGGTAGGATCTCGTTCCTTTTGCCTGAAGCAGCTTTTTATTTGAGTGCTACGAAAAACAGCCATCATGCCAACTGGTTTGGAGAAACATCAACAACCTGGAAGTTGTATATAAAATGAAGACAAGCTACATTAAAAAAAAAAAAAAAGAGGCTTCAAATTCTGAAAACTTGATTGCTGTAAAACACCTGGAATGAACGAAGAGGTTTCAAAGCAGAGATGGGCACTAAATAACTTCCAGTTAAAGTGTCTCTGGAAATCACTGCACAGCAAAAACGTTTTGCCAATAAAATCCCTCTTTTAAAAAGCAGGTAAAGAGAGACCTCTTTGGAAACCCTTCCCCTATTTTACTTTGTTCCAACAGTCATAATGAATTTTCTGATGCCTGCATTCAATAAGTCAGCTTCTAGTTCCTAGCTTTTACTGTTTTTCTCTATCCCTCCTAACACGGCTGGGAGCTCACTGTATCAGTAAGATTTTGCTGAGCAGGTTGACACAATGTAATATTAAATAACATCAAGTAGGCACCCATATGAAGGTACCCCAAGTTGGTGGTGAATTCATTGGTATTTAAAGCAGGAAGTGAGCAGGGAGAAACTTTAGACAACATTCCTAGGCACTGGGGAAAAAAAAAACCCTGCAGTTTTGGAAACTGAGCATATCCTCTCCTGCTTCGTTAACAAAAACCAGGAGCCTGGGGTTCGTTACAATCATCAGGTAGCCCCTAACCACCTGCAAAAGGATCTGCTCAATAAGTAACAGCTGCCCCCTACACAGCATTACTTGTTAAATGACTGAGCAAAGCTGACAACAGAGTGGCTTAAAGGTGCATCTCATGGGCTATGTTAGATAGATCTTGTCTTCCTGTCTTCTCCAAAAGGTCCTTCTACCAAGATCTGATCAAACATTATGGCTCCTTCCTTGCCTTACAGCTACCAGAGTGGTCAACTTTCACACACCTTCTGGGTGTCCTTAGACACCATAGCTGTCCTTAGACTACCAGCTTCCAAATGTCCTGGACTTCGTGCCACTTGCAAAATGGGGTCACAAGCTCCATTTCACACATACTTTGACAAACCAGAGGGCATTATGTCCGATAAGGACACTAGAACACCAGTCTGGGAGTTTATTTGCACAACTTCTACAAAGAGAAGAAAGGTATAAAAAACTGGAATGGTTTATAAATGGTGAGAGGTGAGACTTTGGCTCCCATTCTCCTCGCCTACAGACACACCTCCACCTCAAGTGTAGTCAATCAGCATGATTTTCAGTTTCCACTCAGACAAACTAATTCTGGCAGATCATCAGAAGAGTATGGTTTCAAATGTAAATACATAGATTTCTTTTTTTTTAACATGGCAGTTGAACTTTTTTAGTCCCTGAACTTTTAAACTGGCTATTTGCACAACTGACTTTTCTGCTTATGTGAATTAGCAGGCATGTATTCAGCCCTACCTCCTTTTAATTATAAACATACAAACAGATCAAAAGACTCATTTAAAAAATAGGTTGCAATCTTTGACATGGACAAGGAAGATCTTAAGACTTTTGTCAAGGAAGACAAAGGACAACGACAAGTGATTATTCCTCTCTGTTGTTGGAAGACTTGTTTGCAGACAAAATTGAACAAAACCTCCAAAATAACATCACAGATAAGCCCCAGAGGATGTTTATTTTGCCTGAAGCAAAAAGATGATGATGTGTGCCAGCACCAGCATATCAGGGAGATCTTCCAGTGACAGCACATCTGTGTAACTCTAGCCTGCTTGAAGCAAGAGGACAAAGGAACAGCAGTACTCCAGGTGGAACCAGATACATTTAACCTGTGACAGCAATGTCACACAGTGCACAAGGGGGGATGCTGCAGTGTTAAGAGAGCAGTAAACAAACCTATTCAAGCCTATCCAGCAATGATAAAAACAATGAACTTGTAATCCCAACCGTTAAAGGCAGAGAAGGGAAAAACTGGGAAACAGTATGTCGTGGCTCTGAATGAAGCAGGAACAAGCAAGCCTATGTCCTCAGCTATGGAAGGGCTTGTAAAAATCTTACCTGTGTGATCCAGGGCAGGGCTGTTGGCACCACAGGTTTGGTACAATGAAGCAAGGTCCTTTGGAATGTATGTTTTAAAGATATTTAAAATGTCCAAATGTTTCTCATGCACATCTGATCCCACATCCTGTTTGCTGGAGTGTAAAGCTGGAGAAACTCCCACGGTACTAGGCTGGGGCTGCAGTACCGGACTTGCTCGCGCTATCGCTGTGCAGTTTGCCAATGTCCTCATCTCATTCCCAGCCTTCATGTGAGACTCTCTCTGAGGCACTGGTGGCTCTTCATGTTTAGTGTACTGCTCGCTTTTACACAGAGGATGATACTGCAGCGGTGGGTTGTATTTGGCCTTCATGGAGTCAGATGCACAGTGCTTACCTGCAGGGGCAAAACCGGTACTTCCCTGGGGAACCACATACTTTTCCACTTGCTTACTGTTTGTAGGCTGTGTGCTAGGCCTGGATATGACTGTTTGTGTAGGCGTTATGCTTCTACTATAGGTTCCCATTTGCATAAGTTTGGAATTTGCTTCATATTTACTTTTTTGTTGTGCTGCTATGCTGTACTGCTCCTGGGAATGATTTAACTTGGGCTGTCTGTATGCATCCAGACCCGATAAGCGTGGACCACAGTGGCTGAAGGCATGACTGTCCTTTGACTGATGCGTACTACCAGACTTTGCAGTCATCCCAACAGAGAGAGAGCTGGTTTTGGAACCTGGTAATGCACTTGGCACTTGAGTACGCGTAAATCTGGCAATGGGCAAAGGCTGGCATTCCTTACCACCAAGAACAGGAGGGGGGCCAGTGCGCCCACTCCTTGCCAGAAAGACCAGGTTGTTTTTAATACTCTTGAATCCATTCTGTTGAACCCAAGGGGGTACCATCGAGTTACAGCTGATTTTGTGCAAAATTCTTTTGTGCATCCACAGGACTTCTGGGTAGTAGGTCTTGTGACTGCAGAAAGGACATGGGTAGACAATTAAAGCAGCCTGGAAGGATGTATTCAGATATTTATTGCATGAATTATCCCTTGTTGATTTTTCACTCAAATCGAGTGGAGCTACCTCTAGAGCTTCAGCACCTTTTTCTATCAGAGGATGCTCCCTGTGCAAGTCTAGCAAAGTTTTTCTAGCACGACTAGCCTGCACTTCAAGCGATGTTTTCAAGTCCATGACCACGTCTGAAGATGTCTGGCCCACACCCGAAGCAAAGCTAGCGATGTGACTGGAGTAAGGAAGCCCCTGGCTGTGATGAAATGCTGGCACCTTCATGTCTGCAGAACCTTGGTATTTCGAAAAGGGTTCCTTGATGACACTCTCCAGTGCTGACATCAGGGCAGGAATCTCTGGTTTAGATTCCCTGGCCTCATTTTCTCTGGCGTTGCGGATTCCCAGCTTTGGGAGTTCATCCAACTGAGATGTTATCATTGGGGTTTCTTCTTCAGGAAAGTTGCAGTGGTATGGCTTTTCATCTGAATGGGACAAACAAAAAAAAATCATTGTCATTTTACACAGAAAGGAGCTCAGAAGACAGAGCAGAATTCAAGATTAGAATAAGATAGCAAGAGAAAAAGGAAATTTTGGTATTAGTTTTGCAATGACATGTTACAGACTAAATGTACTTTATAAGCAAGAAAATCTTGAAATAAGACACAACAGTTCAATTTACTTTTAAAGATGACTGCAGAGTCTGGATAAACTCTCTAATGCTGCGTGTTCATGACATTTTGAAGAAAAAACAATAACATATCCATGTTAAAATTCTGGGACTGCGAGAAAAATAAACAAATCTGCAACCATTTAATGCTTTAACAAAAGCAAAGATAATGGAGCCAGATAAAACTGACCTAGTTAAAGGTCTGTCAGCGCTTCCATTACAAGCCCCTATTTTCAAAGGGTTTATAACTCAGCAATAAAAATTGGCTCCACACAGAAACCAAGCACATAAGCAGGTACAGCATACAGAATAAATTCCTAACTTAAGAGGGGCTTTCGCAGTGGCCAAGTATAAAAGATGAGATATGGAGGATGTAAATTTTGATTTTTCAGTCCTTCAGTTTAAAGCAGATTTTTTTTTCCCTTGGTTTTTTTTGGTAACATATGCTCATGTTTGAAACAAACTTTAGGAAAATTTTGTGACTGCTTGACCCACTGAAAGATAAGGAATTAGACATTTCAGCCATTTAGATTACAGAATTCAAAACAGACTTTCAATTCTTCTCATTTTCTTCTTCACTTCTCAGCTCTCCAGAGTAAATTTATCTAACACATGTCCTGGAAAGGGAACACACTGGGCAGTAATTAAAACTGTTTACGGTGAAAGAGAAGAGTAGGATTTGTTTTGCTGGGAGCATGGCTATGTCTGCTCGCTCTCCTGATGCCGACCTCTCAGAGCTGCTGATGAAGCCAATGAATCCCTCCAAATCAGTTCACAAATCAATTCCACAGAGATTTTCATCACAGCAGTAATGCTTACTGCACTGAATCCATTTAACATGTAACTGAATTGAATCATCTGACAAACTTTCAGTTTCAATTAACATGCAGTTAATGAGCCACTGCCAGGCAAGTGTAAGGAGACCATGCTCCATCTAAAACATCACCAGTCCAAAGCGATCACTGCATCCATAGGAGGGGTGAGAAGGGGAAAGGAGTGAACTGCTCTAGAGCTGTGTATCCTCTCACATCAACTCATAAAAGCCAGTACTTCAGAAAATCAAGCACCATTCATTACTGCAGTGCACTGCCACAGGCATTATTCTGTACAGTGCAATGGAAGAAGCATGTTCTTGGCTAGAGTTGCTCTGCAAATAAAGCCTTCTTTGCCCTCATCTTCAACTCAAGCAAAAAAATCTTTAAGCTTTTGTTTAATTCGAGGTAATTAGGTTAAAAATAACCCATAGGTTTGTAGCCTTTCGGGGCTGAATGCTCACTCTGCGAAGATCATTTTCCCTTCAAACTCTCTAAGGGGGTATATTCAGGGGGGAAAAAAAACCACAACCCAGAAACTTTTTTTTTCCTGGGTTGCAGGGGGCAAGGTTTTGGGAAAGCACATGCCCAGCACTATTAACGAAATTTACCAAAATTACAGTTTGAAACAAAGACACTGCATGCAGTGGTGAAATCTGACACCGCACATCTGTGTTATTTTCAAACCATATCTGTCAAAACCCAGAATATTTGTGCTCTTAAATAAGATTTTAAGGCTTCTCTTTATGATCACAAGGAGTGGTTCCTTTTATCATTGTATTAAATAATAAAGCAAAGCAAAAACAAATCCTTTGGTTGTAGCAGTACTCAGTGGACAGTGAACCGACCTGCTGGCTACACTGAGCAGAGCAGGCAGAGGAGGGAAATGGGAGACCACTGCTAGTCCTGTTCCTGGGACTGCAGAGCTGGAAGTCTCCCCCTACTCCTTGGTCCACCTGTGCAGCCATGATGAAGGGGAGCATCAGCAGACATGTGCAACTCCCAGGTTGCTCTGCATATCTCAGATACTCCTTGATACTTTCTGACTCGGTCAAAATCCATGTACTGCGCTGTTACAGCAGAGAGCAAGGTCAAACAGATCGTGATAGGTGGCATGTGTTAGGTCTGGGCTTGGTCTTTAGGTCTGGACTGTTTGATTTAGGTACTTGGGAGAGGAGGGAGGAGGAGAAAGCAGAGGGAGAGATCACAGTCCTATGTGCCCAAATAAAGCTGGGACTGCAAACTTTGAGGTGGTTACAGTCTTTTTGGCCCTATTTCTTTAGTGCAGTCAACAAAGAAAAAGGGATTTTCCAGGTGGAAAATCTAACACAAAGCAGGAAAACAAGAAAGGCATTTCTGAGGTAGGCCTGCAGTTGCCACAATGCTGAAGGCAGCTGTCAGTACATTATATGAAAATTTGTAAGGTTATTACAAAACATAGTTTCTAACATCTCTTCATAATGTCTTGCTAGATTCAATTCCTCTGATGTCTCACTAGAACAGTACTAAACATACTAGGAATAATCTTAAAGCTTAGATCAGGAGCCTCAGTAGCAGTATTTGTGCTAATTGCTCAAGCTGCACTTCTTGCAAGAAAACCCAAAACCAAAAGAGAAACAATTTTCACCTGCAGGCCAACTCAGACTTCTTCATCAGTGCAAAACACACCCTATGCTTTTCCCCTAGCCCCATCCTGCTCTCCACCAGGGACCTGATACTACAGATACCAACAACCAGACTGCCACGTGCCATCCTTCCCATCATGGCAGGTGGTCCAGGCTGGACAGTGAGAAGGCAGCAAAAGCCAGGTGGAGGAAGGGATGCAGGCAAGAGAAGAGAAGATGGTATGCAACCCAATAATATAGGTAAAGCCTTTTTAGAAAAATAGATTATATTTATTTCTGTCTGCTTCCAGCCAATTGCTCCAGTTGAAAAGGTGTATTAACGATCCTTTTAAATCACTGGTATAAAATATTGTTCTAACCAGCGCAGTGCAGGTACTACTGTTACCAGAAACTTTTGAGATTTTATTATGGCCAGGTCAAAGCAAAAAGCCATGAATGAGATGCCTTCTGCTTGATCTCCAGAGACTATAATTCACATTACCCATTGAACGAGTTCTTGGCTAAGTATCCTCTCACTTTTTATCCTACGGTCCCTGTCATCTCCTCGTATTTGCCTCAATTCCTTTGTTTCTTACCCAGAACAGCTGTTTATCTGTTGTACTTATGAGTGAGAAAGGTCCTTTTACCACAGGTCTGAAGTGTTATGGCTTTTCTGTGTCAGAGATACCTGGATAAGAGCTAAAGCAGGAGAACATTCCAAGGTGCCCAGTTAGGAGGTGGTGGCTGCTGATGTTATCTCATGTCTTGGCCATAGCTTCAAATATCAACAGCACTGAATGCTACAGGAAAGCAAAGCAGGACAGTGCAAAGCACTTAACTATATGAAAGTCATTGTCTAGAAACACAGGAACATTCAGGGATTTGAGAAGTTCTTCAGAAATATTCCTAACTGCCATCCCTCAGTGACTTGACTTTACACATGCAGATAAGTGACTCCCCTCTTCCTGTCACACACATATCCCTCTTCTCTCTTTCTCCCCCTTACACATGTAAACTCCCCTTGTTTTCTTCCCAGCCCTGTTTCTCCACAAAACTGAATTTCACAATGGGCTGCACAGCTGTTTTAATTCATGAGGCTTCCTATAAAGTAAACCAGGCTACAAGCCTGAGGACAATGAAACCGTGATTTCTATTCAGAAGAGCAAAACTGGCTAGAAATAGGCCCCTTTTCTGGCTAGTGTTATAGCACTAGGAATCTAAGGAAAAGGAGCAGATGTGATGTGCTTGAAATTTAGTAAACATTTGATAGTGATTTGCACTTTGAGATGAATGCTTTGGCTTGATTTGAAAATCGGCTGCAAATAAATCATGATAAAAGCAAAGGATAACACTGGAAGAAGCTGCAATATTGCTAAGACCTGTACTGGGTTCTATTTCACTTGGTACTTTCTTTAATGATCCAGAAGAGACTCTAGTCAGCATGCTAACTTGAATCTCCAGGAAACATCACATTTGGAGAAGCTGCAAAAATGGGGACAAGGAAATAATGCACAGGGACTCAGAAAGAATAGAAATGCAGTCTCAAAATAATCAAATGAGATTCATTCTGGGAAAAAAAGCAGGTTAAGATAAGTGAAGGGAAATGATCCAAAAAACCCCATGCAGTGGGAGGGAAAAATCTGGGAAGCAGTAATGTTGAAAAAAACAGATGTTACAATAGATGGCAAGTTAAATATGAGTGTACTAGATGAAGTTCTTCAACTCAGCTTTCACAAATAAAAGTAGCACTATAAAAATAAAACTACCCCTCTAAAGAAGACACATGATAGCCTTGCTGGTCACATTGTTTTGTATACATATGTATATATATACATATAAAAAATATCTATATAAACATATACACACCATAGCAATGGGCACTATGTAAAAGTCCACAGTAAACACAAAACAGTGGGAAATGGCAGAGGAAAAAAGGAAAAAGCAGTTTTGAAGCAGAAAATCAGGTCTTTTATCCTGTGAAAGGAAGGTCCAACAAAAAACAGTCTATGCCCCGAGAATATCTATGCAGATCTGCAATGACAGGTAAGTCAGAAGGAGTTCAGAGAACTGCCACAGAAAAGTAACCCACCAGAAAATAAAGACAAAGAGTTAAGTGTCCCTCACATTGCTGAGGGAAGGTGGAAGGGTGACAGGCCAACGTCTGCAGCCTCCCCAGAAGCACCAAGCTCCAGAAGAATTATGTCATCCTGAGCACTGGAGTCTATCAACAACAATCAAACACACCTGCATGCAGAAAAACTCACGATGAACAGAAAAAAAAAACAGCCTGATTATATACATTTGCAGCTTGCAGAATAAATGTCAAAGGAAGAGGTGAAACACCACTTGGACTGTAAAACCTATATGGACAAAACATGGATTATCAATGCATAAAAATC